CCCCCAAACTTCCTTCCCAGCAGTTTAAGAGTACTTACTTAAACATTTGGGTTTAAGGAGTTCATAAAAGTTGTATCCACACCTTCAAATTTTAAGAACTTTAAGGGTCTTTATTCCCTTCTTTTGTCTATTGCTTTTTGAGTCCATCTATATTTCTAGCATCTAAGACATTATGTGCCAGGATAACCTGAATAGCAAAAATGCATATAATACAAAACCTATATAAGCTTGATTATAAGAACTGTATATGCACCTTCAAAACAGTTCAGACAGCTATCTGGCAAAGTTAAGCATGATGCAAGCATCGCATGCAGTGCAGCTGGGGTGATGGGGAAATGCAAAGCCTGGTTAATTCACAATGCAGATCATCCACCCACTGGTTTTAAGAGTTGCTTATATTTTAAATATATAAATCTACATCATAGTTCTGTTTGGATTTCTTATACTTACTGTACCCAGCTGGTCTACTTCAGTCCTGTGCCTCTTTGGAGCATCGATAATAAATATGCTGCTAGAATGCCATATGCCTTGATGGTTTTGATTATGCTGGTAAATATTTGTTCACATATCAGTGAGTGAAGTTCCTGTGCTCAAAAACGTGGGAGACTGATACAAAGTGAATACAATTGTCTAGTTTATCTTTCCAGCCCTGTAAGGTTTCATGGGTAGTACGATAGACAAGTGGGGAGTTGATGAAACTGTGAAATTTTACATCTGGACTTGTTTAGATCTTGTTTAAATCTAAGCTTGATGTATAGTTTCATTAATGTCTTGAAGTCAGCTTTCAAACAGGTGAAGGCTACTTCACACTGTGGAGATCTAGTTCACTTTGTAGACAGGAAGTAGTTTCTAGGCTTAACTTTCAGAAAGGAGGCAAAAGGTTTGAATTGTGCTAAATATATGAAATCTATTTTAAGCCAAGGGACTTTTTTTCACTTCTTATGGCATGCTGTTCTTTCACTGCATTTCTGGATTTCTCTTTCTTACAGAATGGTAAGATTTCAGGATAGGTTTGTATATCGGAGTCTAACTGAATAGAGACAACCTTCTGTGTACTACTCATTTCTTTCACTTGCTCCCAACCTAAAATGTGTATGTTTTATTCAGATGGTCCATGTTTTGAGTTAAAAAAGTGGTACAAGGTGCTAAAACATACCTTGGATGTGGAGCAAAAGAAATTGGATGAAAGAAGAGCCAAGTAAGTTTTAAATTACTTTTTCTTTAATGTAGACAGTTTTACATGAAATCCTGACCTTCTTTCTTTCTTTCTTTCTTTCTTTCTTTCTTTCTTTCTTTCTTTCTTTCTTTCTTTCTTTCTTTCTTTCTTTCTTTCTTTCTTTCTTTCTTTCGTGAGTAAAGTGATTAAATCGCCATCTTGATTTTCTATTTACACTCATAATGTTTATCCAGCATACTAATTAAATGCTCACTTTCTGTGACAAGTAACATACAGCTGAACAATTAACTGATTACAGGAAATCTAGGCTTACGTGCCTCAGTTTGCCCACTCTGAAAAAAGACTTCCTAGGTGTGTTGGGGGGGGCAGTGGATTTTAATAGCACTAGCCATTAGGTTCTTTCAATTTTAATTTAATAGCTCTAGCAGTATTTGTAAGAAATTACTATTCTTGTTTGCTCCAGCTTTCTTTTTTCTTAACAATTCCTATGCCTCTTACTGGTAGGTATCTGTGGAGATGTGAAAAACCACTGTTTTATTCAGCCAAGAAGAAATCCAAAGTTCTTAAGAGAAGACGTGAGTAAAATTTGCTTCTTCCCAGCAACACAGAAATCTGCTCTAACTTTCCCATCATAGAATATCTGCAGCCCTGACTGTGATAACATTTACATCTTAAAATACTTTCTCTTCTCTTTCATCTCTACAATTAATGTAGTACTGTTTTACAATCCATGGCTGAAATTCTTCAGACAGACATTTTCCTCATGCTTAACTGAAACTGCCTTTGCCAGACATCCTAATGACCTACTGAACCACATCTCAGAATGAGTACTCTGTCCTCACCTTCACTAGTTTGTCAGCTGCCTTTATAGAGCTGTGATCTTTGTGAATTGTTGTTGATCTTCCATAGCTTTTCTGTCCCTCTTCCTCCTTTACTTTCTTATATCCTTTGTTATGGGTATCCTTTGGTAGACCTTGTGTGTCTCTCTTTTCTCCCACTCCTTCTTTCAGTCTTCTGTAGAAAGGGAGGAAAGCTTCTCTGAACATGAATTTATTTGAATATCTAGCCGTGCATGGTCAAAATGTAGGTACATCTACTTTATTTTAGTAGCTCTAAAAGTACTTATTTACTGGATTTTATGTTGACATAAAAGCAAACAGACAAAACAACAAAACCTTCACTTCTCTGTGGAAGCAGCAGATACTTGAATAGAGATGTTAAGTGTGGTGAGTTATATTCTTCCCTTTATATACTCTTCCAGTTTCTGGAAGTGGCTGGTTCAGGGACTTCTAAACAAGTTGTATAATCCTATTTGGTTTGAATAACTCATGTTGGATTTCTCTTTCAGGAACATAATTGGGGTTTTTGAATGTTCTTACTCTTCAGAATTCATTAGGGGTGATCCTGCAGTCAAGTTATGTTCCATGGAAAAACATGTTTAGGTGTATTTCAAGCTGATTATTTGCTCAGATACCCTTTAATTCCTGCGTTTGTAAGAAAAAGTGATTGATTCATTGTTCATAATTTATTTCTATGGTGCTCTAGATTCCTTTTTTGGCTCTGCTTCTCTTTGAGCTAGAAGAGGACTGCTTAGATTATGGAGCTTTACCAGTGCCTTTGCAAGCAGAAATATCACATAGTGCCATTGTAACTGGGCAAGATTCATCTTAAAACAAACTTAAAATAGTAGAGACAAAGAGTGCTCTAGCAAATTGATGTGCCAGATACAGGTTTTTAGAAATATTCCTCAGCCTTTGTTTTTGATGGTAGATTTTAATGTCCTCTTGAAAGATATACTTCCCAATCTTTGCATTACTTTAGGATGTCTTTTCTGCTTTTTTTCCCAGTTTGTGAAAGAGTTTATTTAGATACAGGTCATAAAATGAAGTTGAAGCTCCAACTACAGTGTTTTTTAAGCTGCTTTTTATCCTATGGAAACAACGCCCAGGTGGTCATACTGTATGCACTGATCTGTCATCACACCACCTTTCCCTTCTCAGCCTCAGTTATGAAAGTTTGTCATTCCTTTACTAGCAGTGGGGAAAGGTGAAGTGGTTTTTCTGTTGGCTTTTTTTCCAGTTGAAATTTGCACTATGGAAAGCTTAACCTTAAATCCGTATGTGTATGAAACCAGGCTTCCTTAATTCTGATGCACAGGAAACTACCCAAAAAATCTTAGCCAGTCTGAGAGGTAGCATATGACCAGGTAAATATAGCAAAAGGTGTCCTGGCATGTGTTTTCTAACAACATAAAAATACCAGCAGTATCAAATGGATTTTACAGGTTTTACTTGGAAGAATGCTTTTGGAGTGCCCCACTATTAACATCATTAGGTATGAAAGACATGGCGTTTTGAATTATCTTTCAAAATCTTTCCCTGAAACATATGACAGTTGAATTTTAAATACAATGGTGAAGAGAACATACAGACAGACCTTCAAGGTTTCTCAGTATTCCACACAGAGGTTTAAATTTAAAAAAAAGAAGAGAAATGGAAGGAAGGAAGGAGGGAGGGAGGGAAGGAAGGAGGGAGGGAAGGAAGGAGGGAGGGAAGGAAGGAAGGAAGGAGGGAGGGAAGGAAATGAAGGAAGGACACAAATACTCTATTTCTTCCTGTATTAATCACCTCTAAACAGTATTCTAATACTTAACACTTTTGCCTTTTTTTTGTTTCTGTTTGTACAGAAATCGTTGTGAACTTACAAAATCAGTTTGCCAGGCTGTCTGGTTCAGTGCTACATGCTGAAAAGCCAAAGCCTTCAAGTTTTCAGTTAAGATGGTCTGAAGAAAACACAGATGGGAGTTGTTTTCACGGGCATAGCCTGAAGGGAATTTTGCAAAAAAAATCTGGTTTACTTAAAGCCAAGAAGCCTCGCTATTGGCTGTGTACACGTAAACTATGTAATGAGAAGTAAGTATTCAAATTTGTTAAATACATTTTGGAAAGTTCTCCTGAAAGTAAAGTGCCATATATTTTTTTTTTACAAATGACAAATATGGGGTGTGTACATAGCTATGTATTCATATTAGTTAAAATCATTTGTAGAAAGGGGTGTGTGTGCAATGGTTAGTCTTGGATTGGGAGTAGACAAATTGTAATATGAAGAGTGATCAAAGTGAGCTTTTGAGAAGAGAGGAGATGAGACAAAATGAACAACTAGAGTCACATGGCAAGAGTAGCAGTTAGATATAAATACTCACTTTACATCCTTCTTCGTAATATTTTAGAAAAGACTTGCACCACAGCAATCCTTAGAGTGGTGAAACAGTTCTATTTCTCTCCCTCAGCCCCCCCAAAAGTATGGGAAATTAATTTTCTAAATCACTATACTACTTTTGTGGTGGCTGTAATCAAAATTAAAGTTAAAATTATCAGTTGGAGTTCAAATAAGCAGGTAATTAATGCCTCTAGAACATACTTCTTAAAGAAATAATTAAGAGTGAGAAGGACTTTATCACTATTTCATCTAAGCATGTCAGCAATCAACAGTTGTATTTTTTACCAGCAGAAGAATAAACTAATAAATTTCTTTTACTGGAAAAGTAAAAGAAGAAATATGGGAAAAAAATATTTTGTGCTATCAAGGAAGTTTAATGTCTGTCTTTACTAGAGAACGATTCCTGAATCCTGCCTTCAGAAGTGAAAAGGATTTCTTTTTTCCAGTTAAGGGTGTATCAAAACAGTCATTTGTTAGTATACTTATTTTCTTTAAAGGACCTGAGTAGCAAGGAGAATGATAGCCCAGCTAATCCATCCTTGTACAAAGTTACATGGATATTTAAGTAGCCTGGTTTCTGTCAAACTTCTCCCTCTTCCTTTAATACCTTCTCCTTTTGCATTAAATTCTGCAAAAATTGGTGACTTTTCTACTTGGTGGGTGCTGGCAGAGGACCATGGCCAGAGACAGAGACCAAAAGCCCTACTGAGGGCGTGTAGGAGTTCAGCAACATTTACTCCAAGGAATATGAAATATCTAAAGTAGTGTTTCTTGTAAACTCCCTGGGTAGTATAGATACAGCTTCTGGTTTATACGCCAGATACTGGTTCTGCCATTGGTTGTATCATGAAACCCTAACCCAGAAGAGGAATGTACCAGTGAGTATCAGTGAAAAAGATGAACTTTGCAGATGGCTTGGATTCTCCTGAATTTCTCATGTATTGGAGGGTGTTTTCTGGAAAGGAGGTCAGGTTACAGTAATGTGAAATGAGATTTCATTAGTGCATTGAATAACATCGTAAATCTTTATCTGGTATATAGTTCGAAATGGCATGCTTAAGAGAGCAATAGCCCCTACAGAGTCTTGGCAATACACTCCTGATTTTAAAAACATTAAATATTCCTCTTGAAAATAACTGGCTTTTACATGTGTGCAGTCTTTTCTGTCTTTCAGTGGATTTATTTGCTTATCTTTATTTTCCTTTTCACATTACCTTTCACATATCCACCATGACAGAAATGGGTTGGAATAATGTAAACACAGTGTTATATTACAAGAGCTTTGGTTGTATGGATTCATTCTTCTGTATAAGAACCTTTTTTTTTTAAGGGAGGAGAGGTAATAATCCCTTTACCACAAATTTGCGTAAATCTTATGTACACACTGAATGAGTAGATATTTCAGAGTATGTTTGTGTGAATAATCTTCCATGCAAAATCTGTTTTTAAGCCTACATTTTCATACGTAATATATTAAAATGTTAATGGCAAACTGTCATAGCCTTCATGAAACAAGATTTGAATTTAAATTCTTACCGGTTAAATTTCCCATTATATCATTTGCAATGCAAGTAGTTAATTATACATCTGACACTTACTTAACTTTGGAAAACAACATGTACTCCCTCAGATATGAGGGTTTATCCTATGCAAGTGTGTGTATGTATAATAGAACTAAAAACAAACTTACAAATTTTCTTTCTTTAAAAATCAGCATGGGACTACTGAAATGCTTTAATCCTAAAACTAAAGTATGCCTTTAGTATGGGCAAAGCTGAGATCAGTCAAATGGTTGGTGAAATGCTTTTACATTTTCTTTTCTTTTAAAAGTTTTAAACTGGATTCTAAATTGATTCAGTATAGAAGTCTTCAGGTGACAGGAGTTTTATGGTTGGACTTTATGATCTTAAAGTTCTTTTTCAACCTGAATGATTCTATGGTTCTATATACAATGAGGTATACAATGTGTGAAAAAGTTGAGAAAAATTGATTACTCTTATTACATCTAAATTTAAAATCACGTGGATTTTTTTTTTGTAGCTCTTCAGAGATGCTCTTAGGATAAATAGCACAAAAATAGCACATGGGGTAAAAATGTGTGGGTGTTTAGGTACTCTTGTGAAAAGTGTAACTCCAACTAATCAAATAGGTGCTTTACAGTATTGATGTAATTACTCATTTGCCTCAGAATATACAATATCACTCCCCTGCTCCCCCATTGAAAACTAAGATTTGATGCGTAAATTGCTATAAAAGCTGTAGTTGCTGGATCTCAGGGTTGACTAGGACATAGCAAAATGTCTTAATTCATATTAGCCAAAAAATGCAGATTTGATTCAACCAACATTACTCACTGAAGCTTGAATTTAGCCAATTAAATGGGTGGTGGGGTCAACTAGTTCGTTCTGATGCTGCTGAAGTGTCTGATTTAGCTTAGTTTTTGTAAGAAATTGCTGGCAGCTTTCAGGGAACATGACGTAGGGCAGAGGATGGGATGGATGGCGTGAGAGACCTAGTTTCAGATTTCCAATCTGCCAGACTTTGGGAGGCTTTAAACAAAAAACTCCGCTCCCTGGAGTGCAACTTGCATGGCACTCCAGGACGGGTCCGTCTGTTCCTCCAGTTCAAGGTAAAATGTAAATGTTTATTGGGCCAGAGGGAGTGAGCAAATGAGTCTATAGTCTAGTAATTAGCACTCTTCCCCATAAATTGGGACAGACAGATTCCAGTCCTTGTTCTGGTGAATATTTAAGACCGCTGCTCTGAATCAGACAGAGGGGAAAATTTAAACTCTGCTTCTCTGCATCCCAGGGCAATACCTAGTAAACTAGAAGATGCATAGGATTTACATGGTGAATAGCACCTGAATCCCCATATCAATGTAAAAGATTTTGTTAAAAATTGAAACATATGGATTTTATACTATTTTAAATTTACCACTTCTAATAAAAACAATTCAAGGCTAACCCAGAACAGGGTATTTTTCCAACCTAAGTTGCTGAACTTCACGTTTACAGAGCTATCTCTGCAGTCTGTCCTCTGTGTCATCTTTGGTTCAGTCTGACACTTGTTAACAAGTCCAGTCTGCTATTTTCATTATATATTTCATCAATAAAATCACCTATTCATTGCCATTAATATTTTCACTGTGCAAGCTACAAAATAATTAAGCAGAAGGCTTCTATAGCACTAAGTATTTTGTCAACCTGGTCAACATTTGCCCCAGTGTTTCCTGTGTTACTCCATGGACTTTAACTTCGGTTTTCTCTCTTGTTTCTAGACAGATAATTTATATTTAGCACACAAAGGCAATGAACAAGAAATTGAATGGGTTATAATCCCATGGCATAGTGTCAGGAAGAGGAGAGTGGACCCTATGGAGAGTGTGGGCACATAGAGAAAACAGCCTGGGGTGTATCCATTGGATAGTCTTAGAAATTTTAAAAATAGGGTAAAGTAGCCATTTTCACACTTTGCTACATTTGCTAAAAGCTGGCAGAATGAACACTCATTCAATTTAGTCCCAAAAGGCAAAGAACATGTATGTACCTTGGTTCAGTCCTCTACTTCAGGGTTTTGCAGGAGTGGATCCCTTCACAGAATTGACATTTTAGACCAGAACTGTGATTTAAGCTGTTGGTAAAATGTAGAGTTTTCCTCTAATTACAATTAAATATATAAATGCTACTAAATACACTTGTAATTTGGGGCTTTCTTTCTTTTAACTTTCTTTTCAGATTGTGTGGTCATCTGGCTCATTATAGAGGAGTAAACTTTCCCCAGAGCTACCGTTTTGTACTAAGGTTATTCTCCTTTCTTTTGAGGATAGAGCCCTCTTATATCCATGATGAGGTGTGTATGATAGAACACAAGCTTTTTAATAAAAAACTCTGTAAAAAAAAAAAAAAAAAAAAAAAAAAAGAAAAAAAAAAAGAAAAGGCCCAAGGAAGTAAAAAGGCCTAAAAATAAAAGGCCTAAAACCATGTAAATTAGTTGGTTGAATCCAGAACCATGGTATTGTATGTAAACTTACACTGATACTTTTGCTTGCATGGAAATTTTTTAAGAAAATATTGCTAAGATCTACTACTGTACTTCAGTTGTAGTGGTTTTTTATCTACAATTTAAGTCACTAGTTTCCAGCTGGGAAAGCTACCAAGGAAAGTGGTTATCACAATTTATTTCTTCAGTTTGTATGAAATCCCCATTTTGGGGGCATAATTGTACAGACTTTGAGTGTGCTGGACAGCACATTACCATCTAATTACATTGTGAGATTTTTGCAATAAAAATATTATCTTTATTTTACCTACTGTTATATGACAGCAAATGTATTTCTAGAAAGTAATGTTTACTTTGTTTTAAAATAGTGTGTTAACAAATAAAAGGAGCAGTTGGTTGATGTTTTCACTGCAGTGAGTTTTTTAGTCATTGTTTTTAAACAGGCCATTCTGGAGGAACTCTTCCTACATTTCCTTGCATTCTGTGTAACTCCCAGTCTCTTGTTATGCCTGAGCCTCTCATTCTAAGCTAACACCTCTCAGGTCCATGTTCCACTCCAGTCTTCACAGATTTTGCGGTTACTTTTATATCTGGAACGGCCCATCCTATTTCTTGTGCAACGGTAACTGCCAGGTCCTGCTGCCATTCTTCTTTTGCAAGGCTACTGTCATTTGAATTTCTTATGACCGCTTTGTAATCCAGCATCTTCATCAGCTTGTGCCTCAGCCATTCTACCAGTTTCTCATGCTCAGTGTTATTTATGCACTGTGTTTTTAAACTGTCCCAGACAATGTGTAAATGAAGTTGGGTGCTGCCACTACATTAAAGACACAATAACATATACATATGTTGAACAGACATGTTGAGTAGATACCCAGTGAATAAATCTGCTTTCAGCTGAATGAAATAAAATGCAGCAACTCTGACCATCAGTATGGAGTACAGAAGTTGCTCAATCTATTTGATCAAAACCAAAATCAACAGCTGTTTCTAAGGGTTATTATAGTTAAGAAAAAAGGTGCCTGCAGACTTTGCAAAAAGTAATAGTTTTCTTCCTGAGGAAGGGCTTCAGTGAGATGTAATCTAGGAAGGTGATCAGTTCAGCAAGTAGACTCTGGGTGTGATGGAAGAGTGTAAAATCTGTTACAGTTCAATCCATGAAGCTGATGTCTAAAAACTGGGAATGGGTGAATGATAGGAGAGGAGGTGTGCTGCCTCACCTGTCCGGAGCACAGTGATTAAGTAGTATTTCAAGCACGGGTATTGCAGACAGGACTATTAAAGGTAAGTTGTAATACTTACTGGGAAATACTGGCAAACCAGGAGGCTTGGCTGGCTCTGTAGAGGCAGGAGGTAATTAAACATGGTGTCCTGATTTAAGATGACAGAAAAGACAGTTTGGGTGAAAGTTTCTATTTTTTCAGATATTTAAGTGGCTATTGTAAAACAGGGATTTAGAGTAATGGTCCTATAAAGTGCTTGTAACGTGCAGATGAGAAGGCTTAGTTTTAGCCATACAGAGCTAAACTGTGCTTGATGGGGGAAGAGGAAAGAGCGGACTGTTACTTGTTGTATGTGTGAGAGATTTCGTAAGTGGGTACGGTTTAGTATGTCTAAATCTATTGCCATGTTGTGCTAGATACCTCACACTTCTGACAAAATGTGTGTTGAACTGATGTTTACATTAATGGACTCAGAATATACCAGTTTGAATCTCATTTTGCATCTGGCATTTGTGTTTTAAAATCAGCTATAACTATTATGTTTGACCTCACCTGAGTGAGTTACTAAAGTTTACAGATATTTGGTAAAATTATTTATTTTTCTGGTTCTAGATGAGTATTTGTATCAGTTAAAAATCTACACATTGTCACTGTTTTCAATAGTGCTTGCCCAAGTGACTGAAAATGTCTCATTCTTTTACTATATCTGTTAAAGTTTTGAATTAACTATCTAAAAGATACCTTGTTACACATAAAGGATTCATTTAATTCAGAAGTCTTTATATGAGGGACTTACGCACTTAATTATAGGTACACCTTTCTTTTAAAACTACTGTAGTAGTAAAATCTGAGCTTCATAAATTAAAAATACTGTGCTCATTGTTACATTGTTACAAACATAACAAAGCTCCCTTAGAATAAATTAAGGCTGTACTTTAATAAACTGGAATAAAGCTTGCAGTTAATCATCAAGAGCCATGTGCCTTCTGGACACATAGGTTAAGAGTCAGATTTAAAAGTAAAGGGTGTGCCCCTAAAATACTTAATGTTAGTTCTATCCAGTTTAATCAATCAACACTTCTGTTGGAGTAATGACGTTTAAGAAGCTGACGAGCCACAAGAGTGCCTTATCTTCAGTGAAGTGTAGTCGAGCTCTCTTGGGACAACTGCTTTGAGTCCAGTTAATATAACCTTGAGGTGGAGCCGTGCTGGTTGAACAGACAGCTGCCGGCAGATGGCTGAAGGGTAGGGTGTCTGCCGCAACCAGCAGTTCCAACCACCTCTTCTATCTGCTTTTAAGTTACAGCTCCTTTCTGTGTAACTATTTGCTGAAAATGTCCAGGTAAAGCTCAGCGTTCCGATAGCTACTTTTTTGTATGAAATTTTAAGTAAAGAGACTCAGTTTGTTTTGTTTCTTACTCTAAAAGTTGAATGAGAGTTCTTAAGTATATAGATAAAGGCAAGTGGGTTTTTTTAGATTAAACTTTTAAAACAGTGTATATTGAGAAGACTTAGAATTGTTAAATAATTATTAACTTAGACAATAGCAAATCGGTTATTCTGAGACCTTGATGTGCCTTCCAAAGTGAGTTTATTTTGCTAATTTGTGTGTTGTAATTCAACACATTACTTTTTTCTATCTTTAAGAGTGCAAAAGTAACCTTGCTTTATGAATTCTCCTAAATAACGCAACCTTTCTGTTGTTTCAGTGAGAAATATGACAGATGTCTTCTTTTCTTTTGAAAGGTACAACCTTCAGCAGAATTGGTATTTTACCTTCCTAGTTTTTCACTACCTCAGTGTGTCTGCATTCTCAATATAAACTTAGTCACATCCTTTTTTTTTATAAAGTCTTTTACCGTTTTCCAGTCATGAGAAATGTTTGATTTTTTCCTTAACCTCTTACACAGAGCGAGAGCCCTGAACCTGATTTAACCAGTGAATGAGATCAGCAAAACCCAATGCCTGAAAGTAGTGCTAGTCTAATTTATTTGCCATAGTGTGCTATATGGGCTTCACTGCAATTACATCTTTCTTAACCCATTTTTAGCATGACCCCTGAAACAATTCTGTTTGGAAGATTTGGGAAAGCTTCATGCAATGCTGCAGGCAATGCAGTGAATAACTTGCTTTCTCATAACTTCTTGGAAAGCTCAAATGTCCCTTCTTCAGAATTACTTTTCTCCCTTTACGGACAAACAAGACTTTTGCTGATGATCCTGAAAAGTGATTTCAGGGTATTTATGGTAAGTTGTCAAGAGGTTGCTTTTGCAGGGCCGGGAGGAAAAGAGCCAGGACCCACAGGGCTTTTGGGAGAAGTAAAGTCTGAAAATGTTAAGACCCTGAATAAGGTGTCTGCTTCCTGGTTCATCTGTCCTTTCCCCATGTCAGGTTGAGTAAGTTTTATGCTGCTTCACAGGCAGAGAAGAGTCAGGATAACTCTGTTTAATAAATCTCCTATTTTGGATCCAAAATTAAATGGGCTTCCCAGTATGTGTTGTCATACATATTTCCTGGCTGAGCAATGTTAGTATATGGATTGGTCAAAGCAGTGTCTCTCTGAATGCAGAATCCTTGCTTTCCAGCATCTCCCCCGCAGTTACTGGTCTTGTTGCTCCTCACATGTGAAGCTTCTTTGTTCCTGGCCAGATTAGATGAGGGAGCGCGTAAAAGGGATACCAAGATGTGGAAACAGGAAAGAGCTTTCCTCACTGCTGCTTGTGCTAGGATGGTGCTGAAATGGTGAAGAGAGTAAGAGAACAGGAGATGATGAATGCTTGTGTCCTCATGTGAGGTTATAGCTGCCCTTGTACAACTGCTAATGGCAGCATTTCCAGAGCCAGAACACTCCTCCCCAATACTCAGCATCTACACTCTGCCTCTGGCAGTACATCAGGTAGTTTTAAAAGAAAATACAAGCACATTCCTCTGATAATCTCGCATGGCTGATCTGTACTGTAGAAGTATTCTGTGTCTGCTCATAGACCGCCCTGTTGTTCTGGCAGTGGCTTTGCACATCAGCTGCAGACCCTGCCGTTGCCTCCTGAGAACACCACCAAGTATATTTAGTGTCTATGTTGTGGTTCAATAGTTTGGTCTGGATCCTGGGATGCTTCTGTGCTGCCTTTTCGTGGAGGACACCTGCAGTGGCTGGCTGATGGAGCACTGCATGCCTCTGACAGGGCTGCAGAGTAGAGGCTGCTGCAAGAGATAACAGTGAAGACACCACCTCTTTACAGGCCCAAGGAAGAGAAGGGTGTCCTAAAACTACATCCAAGTGCCCAGCTCTCAAGGTCAGGATACTGGGCTGCAGAGGAAGGGAGTTCCTGGTGCGCTGTCAGCTCCTCGCAAGCTGGGCAGGCTCCCCGTCTGCAGGCAGGCTGGTTCCTGCCCTTCTGAGCAGGGCTCCCATCATGGTCCTGTGACACAGTGCAGCCAGGCTCCCCATGACCGCCACTTGCGGCTTGCTCCGACGTTAGGATGTGAAACAATCCACTGGCTCTGGATCTCATCTGCACAGTAAGTTGTGCTGCATTGATATAAATTGTGGCAAAACAGTTTTGTTTTCTGAGCCGAGATCCGTGGCGTTTGTAACTCCTAACTGGGCAGCTGGGTGGTTTCCGTGCTGCGGAGCAAAGCGGATTAGGCAGAGAACAGTATGCAGCGACAGAGCTGCACACGCTGTTCTCTTGCTACACCACTGTCGGGCTGTGCGGCAGGACCTCTGTACACAGAAGTGAAATGCAGTGTTGAGCAGAGACAATAAATGTTCATTGAGACTGGATAACATGCTAAAGATTTTATTGTCGATAAAATTCTAAGCTTCAGAAGGACTTCAATATATAGGCTACTGCAAAATTGACTAATTTATGTTGTAGTACTTTCAGAGTGTCCTCAGTCAGGCTGATGGAGCTGCATCTCCTGCCCCAGAAAAGCCTGATGCTCTCCATGGTGTCTACGTTATCTTGAGGGCTGAATACAGAAAAGGGAAATTTTTAAGGAATGCCTGCAAGATTGCATATAGGGATATGATTCAGGTGAAAAGCAAACTGTTTCTTTGATTTCTGTATTTCACACACTGCTTTCATTTATTTCTTTACCCCTTTTTCCCCCCAGCTTTTTCTATCTTCTCTTTCCTATAAGGCATTCCAAAATTCCACTGTCACTTGTCTTTCTGTTTCTTTCCATTGTGCCTGCTTTCACCTAGTGAAACTGTCACTTTTCTTCCTAGTGAGTTCACAAACATCTGCCTGGGTTTTTCTCTCTCTGTCTGCCCCCCCACCCCCCACCCCCAGCCCTTTGATGCCTTCAGGCTTATTTTGTGGGGGTCAGTGATCAGCTTCAGGCTTACTTTTCCAGCTCTCTCATTAGTGACCAGAGACCTGTTGTGGAAAAGCTTGCCTGGTGTGCTGTGTGATGGAGAGAAGATTCACTGCTATTTACAGCCCTCGCATCTTAGGGGTTCAGATTAAGTAGAAAGTATCTTGTTTTGACTCCCTGGCGTGTTTTGTGAAATCAGAAGTACTGTTACAAACTTGATGCAACTTGTTTGTTTATTGCACAGGTGTGAATGGCCAGTGCATGTAGATAATTACCAGGTGTGAGGTTTTAAAACCTTATTTGTTAGGTAAGTCATAACAGTAGTTAGTCCTTGTCCAGAATAATTCCCAGTTTCTCTAGACAGTGATGTCAAAAGACAGACAAGGAAAAGGTGCAAGCATGTTGAGACAGTGTTCAGCCTCGTGGTTGCAAATGGCGCATGAGCTCGGTGGGATTCATTTAGAAGGAAACAAGTATGAAGAAGGGAAGGAGAACGCTGAAGGCAGGACCAAAGCAGAGGGAAAGGTAAAGGGAAGGGCATGAGAGGTGAAGGAGAGCAGTGAGATCGAGGTGAAAGGGCTAAGCGAGGGAAGAAGTTGGAGGGAACGCCAGTGCAGGGCAGGGGAAGTCCTGCCAGAGCGCTGCCACATCAGGCTGGCATGGCCTTATGCCCAAACCAAAACTCTGCTAAATCCCTTGGTGCTTCTTGCCTGATTTTATTCAGCGATGATGCAACCCACTTAGTGACATCACAGAAATACACCTACAAGTGGTGTTACAGAGTCTAGATTGTGACCGGCAGATTAGTCAGCGGTGTCACAATCCGATGTTTATATCATTGTCTCCTGAATGTGGAAGTGATTGCTGTGTCGATAACTAAGTTTTTATCGGTGGAGCAGGCTGTTGAGAAAAGCTGTCCCTTTTGCAGAGGCAACAGTTTTGATTTATTTGGAATAAAATCACGGTGAATTCTAGTTAAGTAGAAGTACCAAGCGTGGCACATCACTAAGATTTTAGCAGTTCAGGAGCAGTGTAAACATGTGACTGAACTTCAGCACATACTGCATCTGGGTCACTTGCAGCTACAGGGTAGTATTATATTTTATTGTTCATGAAAAATATGCACTAACAGAAGCTGGGAGTGTGAGGAGTGAATAACACCTGAGAAAGTTAGAAGTCCTTCCCAGTATTTGCAATTTTGAGCTTGTTTTGTAATTTGTATCGGAAACAAAACGAGTTATACTTGTTTGGAAAAATGTAACTTTATGACATCTTACTCGGATGACAGTAGTTTTTTCATATGTTTCATAAGACTTTTTCTTTGATGTAATCTCAAATTGGATTCTTAAAATGGGTTAAAAACCTAGAATACGTTTTAGTGCATGTCATAAAGAACAACTTCACTTTGTAGAGCAAGATCCTACTTTAGTAATGATATTTATCTTTTGCCATCCTAGTGGCAATGTTTGCAGAACCAAACAAAGCATTTTGTTTCTAGAACACTAGTTGTGATCCAGTGAGAGGATATTAAGCAACTTCCAGGATTAGACCCTCAGTGAAAGTTTGTTCCCTTTAGTTTCGTATTTCCTTCGGCTGGCTGCTTAAATTGTCCTTCTATAATTTTGCATTGGAGTATATCCTATACAAATAGGGAAGAGATTTTGACCTAGAAGGAAAGACCTCTTATTAGCGTGCATACTTTTCAATTACAGTAGCTATCTGAAGCATCTTGACATATGATAGATAACACTGTTGCTATATGGGTTTGATTCAGCTTGTTACTTAAACAAGCAACCTCCCACCCTTATTTCTCAAGGAGAAACTGAAGATCTTTCTGATTTAAATTCACGCACACCACTTTGGATATATCCGATGTATTTGTAATGTTGGGGATTTAGATGTATTCCCAGCAGTAACTCCATGGTAAACCTTCCTTTCTCCCCAAGGCCGGTCCCTCCGCGAGGCTGGTAACGACGGTAGGATCCACTGTGCTTTGGCGGTCGGCACAGTGCTCGAGCAAATTGACGCACCTTGGGTCGGTTTTAGATTTCCTAAACCCGGGGTTTGTACAAGAAAATAAATGAGGTTATATGGGATGGGAGAGGAGGAAAGGAGACCCATTTTTAGCGTGAAAAAGGTCCCACGGTGCTTCCCGCGTCCCCTGCCGTGAGGCCGGGCCGGGGCCCTGGCGGCGAGAGCCCCTCGAA